GCCCTATCTCAGACGTGCCAGCGGTAAGTTCGCACGCGGCAAGATATGCAGCGAAACTTAGCCATACGGCCAACCATTATATAAACCTGAAGATACTGGAGCGACTTCATGTGTAGTTGCGATATACGGCTATTACGAGGTTTTTGCTAGCGGGTAGCCAGATTAGCTGACTAGTTTGGATGCGAAGCATAACGCGTCTTCTTAATACTACGTAATGTAAGATGCTAGAAGACGTCCTATCCTACGCAGATGAACAGATGTGACATCTGATGCCAAGTAATACATTGTAGGTGTCTAGGTATTACAGATTGCATCAATTGCTATCAGAGCTCCGCGCTGTTAATACACAAGATGTGTCGTTATGTGTTAAGTCGTAATGCGTTAGCTACTGGAAGAGACGTAATGTTGTGGCATACGCGGAGGGAACCTCTCGAGAGTACGTATATACCGTATACAGATGTACTGAGTGGCTCACTCTTAGAGGGTAGCATAATCTATAGATCGATCTGGTGTGAAGGTGAAGAGCTTGGTCCGTACGGTAACATATTCGATGAGCAACTGTGTCCGACGCCACATACACGTAGTATAGCAGAATAAGATAGCTAATTGCGGACTTCCGGTGTGCGGAGAAGAAACGATTCGTGGACGCAATTGTTTCAGGTACGTATCAGGGTTAATAATACAGTAGTTAAGTTCAGTGTAGCTGAATCGGTAATGATTTGAGTGTGGTTCAGGATCATTCAACTAACTCGCGGTTTGTGTGGTTTTAATATATGATACGTTATGTAGATATGGCAGCTAAGGAAAACTGAAGCTTGGGATATTTTGAATATAGAGCTCTGCATGATGCGCCATGAGCGTAGGCAATAGCGGATAGGAGTAGGCGATATAGGTGGGAGATTGCTATGAGAGAGATTCGTACAATGTGAATTCAAGCGATATGAGCCGCGTTCCCTTAATCCATATTACATGAACCTCTGCGTTAACCCGAGCTATTATCTACATAATGGCGTGCTATAGGTCAGAGGATATTCTTACTGCAAAGTTATGCCAGCGTCGAGAAGAAGAAAATGGCATTGAATAATCTGCAGGATTCCACGAGGCTAGTAAAGTTGGGAATCGGAGCTTGTGAGTATTGCGATTAAATTAGTTACTGCAGAAAATTATGGTGGCCGCCGGTCGAACTTCATAGATGTACGAGAGGTGTAGATGGGTGAGCCGACAGTTGCTCGCATGAGCGTAATCACTTGATGAATTAGTCGCAGACCTCGCAGCGGCTGCAAGATGTGAGCGAGGCCGACGCGCGTCACGAAAGAGGAACTCGACCGACTGGAACCTGCTGGAGCGTAACCCTCTCGCGTCGAGTGCCTCTGAGTGAAGAGAATGCGACACACGTTCGACGAAGAACTTCGGCGACTATTGCAGGTCTGGTCAGTGTGCTGATATTCTGCGAGCTGCTATCTGTAAACCATTAATGTGCATTGTTATCTGATATGAGTGACGTCGGAATAACGCGAGTATTTAGAAAAATTATTACGAGTCAATTTAGCACGCGAATTAATAAGAGAAACAGCGAATGTGATATCTGAGTTATGATACTAGAGCAAGACACCGAATACCATAGTTTATACAAATGATATATCGAGCTCAAAGAAACATCATAGAAAATGGGCTATATTTAGAATACTCCATGAACGTCAGACCAAGGTTGCAGTCTGGCCAACCGGTAAAGCTATTGTGAGCACGCGCAGCAGTATACCAAAAGCCTGCGTATCTGTGGATTACCGTAGCGCGCATTTCTTCAGAAGCAGGAGATATTCCCAGTCTTCAAGATCAAGTTTAGTAATCTTCTGTTGATGCCAAAATTCGAGGGCGCACCGCAAGAACCCTGCGAATCCAAAAATCATGAGTCAATGTCGAATTTTATAGATTCAGGATGTGTTTTATTGGTATTTGTCAGCATAGCCTTATTATCCGATCGATTAGAACTAACGGATCTATCCAACTGACAAACTAGTCATCATGTAAAAGAGGCTATCGTAAGAAGAGGAGATATTACATACACACATACAAGGACCAACAGATTAATTTGATTATCACTCACCATAATGTGCTTCTCCAATAGATTACAAACTTTAGAAACATAGCATCAGTATTAACAAGCGTATCAAAATCACATGGCTACCAAAATTTTATGAGAAATTAACATCACCATTAGGACTAAGAACGGTGCTCTTGCAAGTCTGCTGTCAGAACTATCCATAGCCAGGGATCATACAGACGACAAACTGAACTAGCGAATGATATGTATCTACATACAAGAGGTAGATTGACAGAGTACATGTTAGTCAAAAAAGACGGTAAGGACTTGAGCTTCTTCTCTACTTTGATATGCTTAAGAAACGCGCATTTGAGATATCATAGCAAAACATGTAAGACCCTCAGTTGCCATATTATGCGGATTTACGCTGGACACAGCGCACACTCTCATATCCGAATACTTGTATGCGCTGAGTGCTTCTATTACATCTCTTCAAGCATCATCGGCGTGTATACTGGCGCTGCACCTCATTGAACGGCATACCATGAAGCGACTTACTGGGTATAGTATTCCGTCTAATTGAACTACTCTCCACGTATGCGCGCATATATATTCTCAAGATCAAGTACAAAAATAAAAAAAAGCTACTAACATTGGCAAAGTATATCTGGGTTCAAGCTTATAGTCAAGCTGATAGCATCGCTAATTGTAATAATATATCATATGACGAACCATGACGAATGAGTAAGCGTACAGGGACTTTATGTTAACCGGTTTCTCGTATCAAATCCGGATAAGATTCATTGTACGCACATTAGAATGCAGTCCGTGCCTATTGTGTCCAGTATCTGACTGCCATCGACAATCTTGGAGAGTGCGAGAGTAACTCATGATGTCGTTCAATATGCACGCACAGAACGAGTTCCGGTTGAATATCGCGGTAGCAGCCAATAATGCACAAAGTTGCATACAAGAGTTGCTGCATGTACATATACATCAAACGTCGCTCATCCGACTCATCGATCAGGAAGATTTATCTTTATTAGTATCTCAAGAAAGAGATGCTGAAGCAACACTTAGAAAATGCGCGTGTGTAACTCGCATAGGTTTCAGCTTGGACAGACTACCTAATCGGCGCAGTTCTCCTCATGTGACTGCGTACGCTATCGAGTGCGGAAAAGAACAAGGGACAATGTAATCACGATACCAGAGATCAACGTGTTGAGTTTGTTGGCAACTATGGGAGTCTGAATAATAATTCTGCTAGATATAGGGCATAATCGATTCGTACCTATGATATCGTCGTATATAATGCATCACACGTTATCACTACTAAGGCAGCATGGCTGCGTGAGTAGTATGAAGTACTCCGCAATTCACCAAACAATGCTCATGATGAGCATGCAACGGACACACTGCATACCATACCGATCTTATCAATCTCATAATCATCAGGGAATCAGATGGATCTAATGCTAGACTCTTGCTTCTATTGACTCTTTCATGTAGGACTGGCCGCTATTTGCTATGAATACGTCGCATTAGGGGACTACTGATGAGTATGACGACGTTCATCATAGTGCACGCAAGGATATCACCACTCAGGACTCTAGGGGTGCACTCATATCATCTGGGGCTACTCTGTTGCTTTTTCATCATACTTCGCTTTTCTCAATTTCACTATTCTCTCTTTCAGACTTTCTTCATCAGATTTCGCTATCGCAGCTTCTGACTAAGATGGAATCCTCCACTTGGCATCCAGTGGTAGCCGAGGAAATTTGCGTTGCGAAACTAACGCAGTAGACCACTCACCATCGTACCCTTGTGTGTATTGAATCTGAACAGAAGACGTTCTTACATGAATCTGTAAAAGATCGAATCACAAATCTTTTTTCAGCCCGCAAGACAGCAGTGGCCGGAATCTTGTTATCAACTTTTTCCTCTATCGTGCACCAATTTAGATACCTATATACTTTCTAACCTATCCAAAATATCTTCATATACTCTTCAATAATTACCTTTATAGTACCAGTAGACTTAAGAGAATGTAATGCGACTAATCCAGTAATACGGTTCTAACGGCTAATCAGAGAAGTCTCTTGACATGTCAAGAAGCCAAAGGCTTGCCCTGACATACGAATGAGGATGGAATTTTGGTCTACAAGTAGGGACAATCAAAGTCATAAAGGCCCTATTTGCTAGATCGTATTCTCAGTATTCTCAACACAGAACCGTCGCAGTTCACCTTTCTAGTCCAATCCAATCTCTTGAGGGGAATATTCTTCACATGGATGCCTAAGAGCTCGCATATACGAATGCCTTATGAGTATAGTCGTTGAACTATAGACGATCAGAAGTACAAGGCAATATTAAAGTTCTTCAATACTATCTAAGACACCGCTTGATCAACGAGCGTCTACAGACGTTTAAGACGATATATTGATGCGGAGCAATGTCCAAACACCGGTGGCTAAGGTTGGAGTTATTGTAAGGCCGTTAGCCGGACCGGGACTATGCTGATGGTAAATAGAGTAGGGTCGGTAGGTCCCCTGTTTGACGTCTAGCTGAGTGCAGGGATATTGACACGCAAAACTCTTATTTTAGCACGCCACCATCAGTACCATTGAAAGGGAGATGCGATACATTATGTATGAAAGCTCCACCATGGGTCCCGAACCGCCGACACTGTTATTCGGTGCATCAAATCCCTTAAGCCAAAATCATTTGCAGAAGCATTGTCAACTGTAATAGTTAACATCTTTTATATACCCCACTCCACCAAACACTCCTTCAAAAGTTGAGCAATAGATTCTCCTTTATGATTTGGAATGACACAAAAGTTTAAAATATTTTTATGTAACTTCCAATCATCATGAATAAAATACGCAGTGAGAACCATGTAATTTGTTTGTTGAATAGAAGTTTATGTATCCGTTGTTAAGACACACCCTAAATGTCTTCAACTGACTTTTCAATTTCTCCTTTTTCAGAATAAAACAAGTCAAGTACATCATTAGCTATTGTCTTACGACTAAGCACTCTCCACAAAGGACATGCATGCAAAAATTACGAAAATCATCTCCCTCGACGAAAGAAAAAAGTAACTCGTCTATAATTATCATCTCAACACAAGTCTTAGTAACTTCCACTTAAGAAAAACTTATAGCTTCCAACTTATCTTTCGTGCAGGCAAAAGTTAAGATATTTTGCCTATTTGCGAAAAATATTTCCTTATTAGGACCGTAGCTTCTACATCTTGCCAATTGATTTCTTATACTAGTTGTACCATTTTCATCCGGGTCGGCCATAAATGGTTTATTTCAATACTTGCACACCTCTTAACTCTATCTCCCTCAATTATTCTATCAAAGTGCTCCCAAATTGTAGACCTTTCATGATTTTTTAGTGAATCCAAGAAAGCTTCTTTACTTACTTGATCACTTGAGCCACCTTCTTTTAGAGTTGCATCGGAGGAATTTTTGGATCCACCATGAGGATGAGGGAACTTGTTGAGGTGCCACCATGAAGAGTTGAGGTGGAGTTGATTCACAAACAATGTCCTTCTAAAATAAGAGAAAATCATTACAATTAATTATTAAATAAGTTGAGACATAAGAATGATAGAGAAAGTATAGAGATGACAACTTACTTACGATGGAGTAGAAGTAGATGAATTTAGTTTTTTCACGAGAGCTATTTGATGATTTTGATCTCATTGAGTTTGAGCTTGAGCTTGTGGCCTTTAATGCATTTGACTTCATCTAATTAAAATAGAAAACATATAATAAGATTCAATTAGGAAACAAAAAAAATCACAATACAGATTAGTATTAACCAAGCAAGCTCAAAAGCGTGCTGCAAAATTCCAAGCAGTAGAAGATAACCATATTTTGAATTATCCTATGAAAAATCAACATATATGAATCTACTGGATGCCACAAGTCGGTGAAATGATTTTAATAGCTAGAAGATAACCATAACAGGATTGAACTACCAAGTTCACTGCCACTACGAATTACTATCAAAATGCCTATTTTGGTACCATCACTAGGTTTTAAGTTCACTAATAATTTTAAAGCATGCTGGTTGTTCACATACTCAAAGGTGGTTTAAGGTCTAGCATCAAAACATCTTCAAACATATAATCCAAATCTTGAAAAGTACGAGTTGTTCCTCCAACCAACCTTTTAAAATAGTGCAATGTATGACCGTCGAAAGTGAAAAACTAGAAACATGCATTGCTGTGGTATTTCTACGTAACTAATTACCTATAAACCCTATCAAATTGAAGGATGCGGATGGTTCAGATTAATATGCAGCAAAACAATTCATAAACGGAATAACATATAATAGAGAGAGAAAGGGATAGAATTAGAGGTTTGGCATTTCTCACTTTCTCTTTTACATTTCGATTTTCCTTTCCAATTTTTTTACTTCCTTCTTTCTGTAACTTCACAAACACCCACCCACCTAGAATACTGACCTTTGTGACAGTTGTCGATTGTCAAGACAGTGAGGTGGGCAAGTGCTCGACGACGGGGTTGTGGGGCTGCGAGGCGCTGCAAGGCTAAGAGGTTACATGGCTTCAAGGCTGCGGGGCTCCCAGCTGTGAGAGTGAAGTGATGGCTGACTGAGAGACAAGGTGAGGAGGCGCATTGAGAGAGATTAGAGAACGGCAGTGACGGGTGAGGGAGTGATGGCTGAGAGACACAGTGATTGAGTGAAGGAGGCACGGGGGGAAGAAAACTCTTCTAGTGTTAATAGCGTAGCCAAAATGACACTAACTTAAGGGTAAAAACGACATTAGCGTATCTAAGGGTAAAACGACATCATTTTATACACACTTCGGTTCGGTTTGGTTTGGGAACCCCAAAAAACCAAAACCAAACCAAACCATTTCAGTTGGGTTTTTCACGTATAGTTTGGTTTTTTTTCCAGTTACGGTTCGGTTATTTCGTTTTTTGGTTTTTTCAACCCACCCCTAGCTATAACAAACAAAAGAAAACAAAAACCTTAAGTACACTGACGCCGTCAACTTCTTCTAGATGGGTGAAATACTTAAGTGGTTTGGGGCTTCTCCTCCTTTATTCAGTATATTATAGACCTTGTGCATCTTGAAACATACAACTTCTTCTAGACTCAGTTATCAAAGGCGAACATAAATAGACGTCTTTTCAAAAGGATAAAATGTCTGCAAATATTGCAAGAATCAAGGATCTCCTACAAGAGTTAAAGAAATCTGATAGCCCTAAAATTGTTCTAAAAAAGGAGTAGAAACTATGGTGCTTAAAGTCAGTGAAATTGAAAAATAAGGGTAAGTTAGATAGATTGACTCCATGTAAAATATGGTTTTTCGCCATGGCGTACCCTGGTAAAAGTTCTTATGGTCTTTCAATGATCAATAAGAATATTTTCTGATTTTACCGGAGTTATATTATATAGTTGTCGACTTAATAGGTTATAAAATGGGACAACTGGAGATCAGGGTAGGAATTGGGTTGGAGGGGTGAGATTTGGTTGTCACGAATTTGGAAATGGGGCATGAGAATGAAATTTTAGAAGTGCGGAATGAGGCTTAGGGTTAAGATCTGGAAAGTGGTCAAATTCTGAAATGCTAACTGGAATAAAAATTGGGAAAATAGGCCTTGTAGTTGGGCTTATCAGCACTATAATATTTATGCTTTAAATTTTTTTTAAAGAATTTAGATATATGATAGAAGTTATTTTAGTAATGATAGTCATGAGAAAATAACATTATAATTTTATAATTTTTTTATGGTGAGTGAAATTATAATGCTGGTGGAGAAATATGACATTGGGGTGGGTTTAGGCTTGTAGCAGCACTCTAACATTTTCATTAAAAAGCAGCTACTTAGTACTATGGTTTAGCAGTATTCTTCTTCACTTGTAACTAGAGAGGCCTTAGGCCATCTCCAACCGAAGGAGGGTGAAACGGCCATGTTTAGCCCTATAGCCCCTATAAGAAATTATATTTTAATACAGTGTCAGACCCTATTTTATACCATCTCCAACTGAGGGAGCCAAAGGGTCATAGGCCAAACATAGCCCTGTGACAAAGAACTCATCTCCAACCAAGGGGATTAAAGGGTCATAGGCCAAACATAACCCCCTCAATAATTTATTATTTTAATTGAATTAATATGGTTAATTAAATATTAAAATAAGATTTTCGGACATATTTTGAATGTCACTTGTCGCTAAATGAATAATCCTCCAAATTTCTTATCTTTATATAATCTCAATAATTTTTTGGATAGTATGAAATGGTGAAAAGTATATGAGAAATTGTGTAGGAATAACTTAGATATTTATAGGAAAAATTAGAATTAAAAAAAATTGTCCAAAAAAAAAATCAAATTCCAACGATAACTTGACGTCTGGCTGGAAATGGCCATCCAGCTGGCCTGATTTGGCTATTTTGGCCTGGTGGGGCCCACAAGCTTTTTGGCCTAACCTTCTATTAAAGACGATTTTCATGTCCTTCCGAACTTTTTTTAACCTTATAGCCCGTTGGCAAGGTCGGTTGGAGATGACCTTAGATTCAATTCTCACCAAAAACGATTTTGAACCATATTATTGTTGGCTATTGTGAAGCTAAGTCCACTTCTTCACCGAGCGCAGATAATATCATTTATTTTCGTTAAAAAGCGAGTTAAAAAAAATAAGAGTAGCACTCATTTTAATATTAAATGTATATGTGGTGACGTGGAAAAACATGGAGCGTTGGATAAGAAGTAGGTGCGATCAATGACAACGCCAATTATTCAGTAAGGGTGGTATTTAATCCAGAAACAGGAGATGCCTTCGCTCTCGTCTCTCTCGTCTCTCTCTTCTCTCTCTTCTCTCTCTCTGCGGGTGGCTCTGGTGTCAGAAAGAGTTGTATAATACGAGGTAAATCAATACCAGATGATTTAATTTTCTATTGATTTTGTTTTTTGAGTTTCGTTTTATGAATTAAGCATGATTCGATTAACGGAAGATTTTTTAGATAGTCTCTACTCTAGTATTTAATCTTAGGGTTTATGGGAACCCTAATTTCGTACAATTTGGGATTTTTTCGTGTACAATTGAAATCTTGAGCTCAATTGGAGAAGCTGATTGATGTTGTGCTGATTAATTCCGACAGAATTCCGGATCCCAAGACAACCATAGGAAGGAGGCTCCTTCTGATTGCTGAACGTACAACACACGTATACACATCGATCGAATATGTATCATCCCACTAGAGGCGGTGTTCGTGGCGGTCGAGATCGTAAACCCTCTCCCTCTCTCATTATATATACACGCACGCGCACACACACATGTATATAAATATATGTACATTTTTCTGTATATTCATGCTTTAGTAATCTGTTCTCTGGCTGTTCTTTTTCATTTATCTCTTCTAGTGTCAATAATGAACAGTGTGGTAGAATTTAAACCTAAAAATAAAGTTTCTCTGGAGGGGAATTTATTTACTTAATAAGAAAAGTCCACTAATTTGATACAGATCTGTGTTTGATTTTTGGTGTTTACGAAGATGGTTTTTCCCCCCTATTATTGCCCAATTAGCCGTAAAAAAAATAATTGCTTCTAAAATTGCATGTGGAGTAGCTAATCGGATGCTCACAACTAGAATTCATGAAATATTGGTTTTGTTCCGGAGATAGTGACTTGGTGAGGCATTTATTATTCTATTCTGTAAAGTGCATAGAAAAAACTTGAACTTCTGATGTAAAAACATATTTATGTGGGGGAGAAGAGAGGAAAAGTAAGAAGGGAGGATAGAGGAGAAAAGCAAGGGAGCAACAGGGTGGCTAGTTCATAGAGGGTCTTTCATTTATCCCCTCATTCTCTACCCATTTTTCCTACTTTTTCTTCTCCCTAATTTTAAGGTGGGCAATGGCATATGCCTGCCCTCTCAATCCTCCATCCCTGGGCGGCCGTAGGATTTTCAACATTCAATTCAATTCAGTAGTTTAGAATAACGCCCATTATTTAATAGGTAGTTGAAGCACGACAAACTCTTAATACCTACAATGAAACTCTGATGGTCGTAGGAAAGTGAACTTAGTAGTTAAAAAAAATCATATTTTTGGTACCCTAAATAATAGGAATATTCATCGCATATTTATGTGTAAATCGTGGACATAATCCTTGTATGTTGTAGGTGCATTCTTATCTTGGGAGGCTTTTAAAATTATTATTATTTTATTTAATCAACTTGCTGCTTCTCCTTTGATGCACAGAATTCAGTTGGGACGATGTTAAGGTTGATAAACATCGAGAGAACTACCTTGGTCACAGCATCAAGGCGCCTGTGGGAAGATGGCAAAAAGGTGACCCGTTTAGTTCCTTCATATTTGGCTATAATCATTCATTTTTCTCATTTCAAATGAACTTTTCAATTTGGTTTTAAGTTGCAAGTAGCTCTCTGGTTCTTCTGAAAAATAGTCAAACCCTCTCCAATTCAAAGATAAGCCACTTAATAGAACAAAATTATAAGTTTAGGTAATTATTAAATGAAAAGACTAAGATACCTTAAATTCACTCCTATAGGTCATTACTCTCATATTTCTTCGTTCTTTATTTCTTTCTGTTCTTGGATTCCATGTGTTTTTGCCATTGCGTCCTTCCTCAAGAGGTAAGAAAAGAGGCAATTAATTTTGAATGCCCTACAATTCTCATGGTTGGAATCATTTTGCAAGAATTCACCTCTCCATATTTCCGGACCAATTATTCAACACTACAGGAATTTGGTCCAAATTATATCAAGTTGGCATGTATTCTAATTTTGTAACATTTCTTGGAATCTTTTCATGGAAGATGAAAAAATGTAAACTTCTGGTTCTCTTAATGTTGCAATGAGGATTGCTGACAATTTTGGATGTAGACTATAGTTCCAAGTTCCTTCTTGTCTGCCAAATTTGCACATTGTATGGCATGAATGGACTTTGTTTGAATCTGTGTGGCTATTGGGAATTTGTTCGTGCAGAGTATCTTAAGTTCGTGTTGTCTGGAACTTAATTCCAGTTTTATTCTACAAATGATTTGAATCTATAATTTATAAAAGCGATTGATGCTTTTCGTTTTCTTTATAAGGCTAATCCACTGCCATGGGTGAAAAATGTATTAGAGAAGTCTCCTTGTCCAATAAAAATAGCGGAGTCATTTTCATTCTGTTTCAAATTTCTTTTATATAAAGGTCTAATCTCTAGAAATTGAAGTGGTTGTCTGGTTGGAGCTACTAGCAAAGACAGCGTATATAGTGATTCTTATATAGTTTTGTTTTCTTTTGATTTTAACGTTTTTCCCTGTTTCATTCCCATGTATGAAAGTTTTTGCAGTATTTAAAAGATTCTCTCAACTGTTTATTGTATGCTTCCACAGGTAAAGATCTACACTGGTATACTAGAGACAAAAATGCTCAGAAGGCAGAAATGGATGCTGCAAAAGAAGAGATCAAGAGGATTAAGGAAGAGGAGGAGCAGGCTATGAGGGAGGCTCTTGGCTTAGCTCCTAAGCGTGCAAGCCGTGCTCAAGGTAGTCGGCTTGATAAGCATGAGTTTTCGGAACTTGTGAAACGAGGCTCTACTGCAGAGGACGTAGGTGAAGGGCACGCTGAAGCAGCACGTGTGCATGGTCTTGGATTTGCAAGGTGCGTAACACCCCAGAAAAAGGGTTTAAATTGTACCTTCCTTATTCCCATTTTGATATGTAGTCCCAGCTTAATTGCAATAATCCGCAGCCACTTATGGGCTCGTTTGGATGTGCTTTTAAAATGATTGAAGGCGTGTGCTTCTTCCACGAAGCACTTTTAAGTGCTTTTCCAGGATTTAGTTGCATTGTTACTGAGGATTGATTCCAAAAACATTTTCACCAAAAGCGCTTTCAGTCATTTTAAAAGCACATCCAAACGAGCTCTATATCATCAATCTCTTTGAAGATTGAAAGTTTAATGATGTTGCTGGTTTTGACCGTTTTGTCTAGTATAAGTTGGGAGTTATTTTTGTGGACTTCTGGTGTAATTTGAATCTTCTCTCCAATTATATAATATAATAATTTTGTGTACTATAAAAAAAAAATTGTTGCTGGGTTTTCATGACAGCCATTTTCTGAGAGTTGTAAAGAAAATTATGGTATAGAACGGCGAAAGAAGAAAATTGTATAGAGCTATTCCAAGGGTGATGTTGGAATACTGTCATATTTTCTTGGATTCCCATAATGCGAAATGGGGATGTGGCCATTGGAGAAGGAATACATGGATGGTGGGGAAGTAGTAGGGTTTATGGTTTAGTATGTCTTTGTTGATACTTTGAGAAAGGAATTTATGAGATACTGAGAAATTTGTTAGGCATGGGACGATTAATGTAGTAATTAATGAGCTTGTAGTGTGTGTGTGTGTGTGTGTGTGTGTGTAATATATTCGTACTTAGTGCCAATAGCCTGCTGTGTAGTTAGTTTGTGATATATGATTACTAATTTATGTTTTGCCTCCCTCCCATTATGTTTTTTCTTTGCTTAGCGTAATTCTGCTTGATCCATTTTGTCCAAAAATAAATTAATTTATAATGTTACTGCAGAGCACCCTGCCCTTGGGATGAGTCAAGTTCTCTTAATCCAACAGCGAAGGATGTTCCACCTGAAATGGGAAAGTTGGATGTTCCTAATTCACCACCAAAAGAAAAAGTTGAAGAGGAGCTAGAGGATGAAAGCAGTCGAAAGAAGAGGAGGCGTGATGAGAGAAAGCAGGAGAAACATGAGAGGCGTGAAAAGCATGGGAAACATCCCTCAGATGAGAGGAGGAAACACAGGAAACACAAGGAGAAGAGAAGACATGGTTCCGACTCCGAATGATATGTCAAGGCTTTTGTGTAATCTTTTTCTCCAAGATTTGATGGAGATTAGTAATTTCATTGTAAATCATGCACAATCTAGCATTATGTTGGTTCCGGTTTCGTTTTACTACTAGTGAGTTTATGAACTTGCCTACTCATACCAAGTTCATCTCTTTGAGCTAATATGCTCCTGGTTAAATGCTCATCCTCTTCACGCCGCTACTTGGCTATAAACCCAGAAGACGAAAAGAAACCTGGGCAGGAGATGTACACAAGATGCTGAGAAATGTGAAGTCTGCTGGGACTGAAAATTGGGAGGGTGATGGAAGGCTTAAGATTAGATGGTGTTGGAAGTTCACAAAAAGTGATGATTGGCAGCAAGGAAGTTCAGGTGGTGGATGTCATTGACATATCGTCTGTGGGTTTTGATGTCTCATCATGCATACAAATTAATGTTTTAGAGGCGAAGGCGTAAGTAGGCTTTTTGCGTATTTCTTATTTATAATTAAAATATAATAGATATGGGTTATAATGGGATGGGAGACGCTCAATTTTTTCACACATTTTGTAGGTATGCTCAAACTTTTTTCTAACAATCGGAACTATCTATATTTCAATTCAACATTCATAATATTAGGGGCGAGCACGGTACAGTAACCTTGATCGGTTAGTAGAAAGAATGCCTTTTCAGCTCCAAGACTGACTGACTAACCAAGTTCAAACAGCAGAAAACTACATATGAGCAAATAAGTGAAAACCCAAAGAATTATGACTTTTATTTGAACTTATATATGTATAAACGAACACCGTAATATTTAAAGAAAGAAGAAAAGAAAAGAAAAAAAAAAACAACACACGCACACAGAACGCCATCAGAAGCCCCAAACACCGACTTACAGAACAGAACAGAACAGACACCTCACCCAACCGCAACCAGAAATTGCAAAGGATACCCACCCCTATATACGAACATAGAATACAACGGCAAACTCTAGTCAGGCATCGCAGAAATAGCAGAGGGATGCGTATCACAATCTTTAGTTCGCTGTCATTGAGTTTAGACAATCTTCTGATTAAGCTGCAAGTACTACTATCACGATGAGAAGCACAATTCCAAATATTACCAAGAGCAAGCAACTCTGCAAAAAACAAAAAAAAGATAACTATGATTAAACAAACTTAAAAGTGATTGGTTAAAATATTTGTAAAGGAACTGAGAGAACATTTGGAAAAATATACACATACAAATATATATAAAATGTCAGAAAGTATATATACAACTGAAAGAAGAGAACATTTGGAAAAATATATATACAAATATATGTAAAATGTCATAAAATAAATGTGAATAAATTACCAGAGACGAATTTGATCTTTGGGTCTTTGATGCCTTCACAAGTTGGGACTTCGCCTGCCCAGTTGCAGCATGAGCACCCTCAATATTGGAGCCAATGTCATCTACAAAGCAGATATCACCGATAAGAAAACACAAGCCAGATAAGTATAAGTGCCTTCAAGAGAGTAAGGCGAAGGTAAGTTACCAATCATGGTTCCTTGCTCATGAACCAGTATAGCAAGATCTTTAAAAATATCATTCACTTCACCAATCTGCTGCTGGATTTCTTGTATTCCCTGTTCTCTTTCCTCAATGATAGCCTCATTGAAGGCAATCTCGTTGTCCAATAGCACAACCTCTTGTCTGCAGCAAAGCTCACTTAGAACCAAAGATATATGGCAAATACAACCTTGAAAAGAGTTTAAAACTGAAGTAGATAAATCAAACAATCAAAATTTTGGAAACAACTAGCAGAAGGTATCAGATCTGCTCTCTCAATTGGCAACGAAACCAAAGAAGGCTGATGCTATGGCTCCCAGTGCCAACTATTTTTGTGCACAAGAGAATCATTACGGACAGGAAAAAGGCATTAGCATTTTGATGTAGAACACCACAAGCTGGGTGCGGCATGATTATTGTGAGCTTCAGATGTCAGGAATTTTAATAATTTGGAGGAGGAATGCTAGCCACATTCTTATATGTACCTTCTCACTTTTCCTCACGCCATGTGTCAATTTTCTTGTACCTAAACTTAGCATTTTATGCTAAAATTAATTAAATTTTGTTTTCCAAATTACCCATCTTAAATGTAATAAGTCTTCATAAACCTTTTTCCCTTGCTAATTAAAAGTTGAAATTGGCCGACTGTTCTCCTCCGTCATTTCCTTCACCAATGCCACAATATCGTTTCCTAACTCCTAAATATCATATGGCCTTTCTAATAAGTAAGGACTAGATGTCTTCTGGGATATAATTTTTTTCTAGTAAGAAATGGAGGTGCAATGAGGTTAGTGCCGATGCAGTTCCCTTTTTTATGGCGGTTTTGAAAAAGTTAACAGTGGTTCCACCATTTTTAAGTTTTTCGACCATGAAAAGAGATGGTTATGTTTTTGTTGTTGTGTCTTTTTTGAAGAAGGGAGAGTATTAAATCTAGACTAGACAATGAAGACACAAAAAATTTCAAAGACAGCTCCTAGACCAAAATACTAGAAGAACCAAGACACGGCTCCGACACCACAGCACACATCAAACACTTCACTCAATCTCATGGTCTGACCTGCACTTTGTTCCAAAGGGATTGCAACCCACCAATAATAGTCTCTGACACCCTATCCCATGACTACCAATAAAATACCCATTTTCTATGAACCATATTACACTTCACCACTTCCCACCAAAGGCTCTATCCCTCCACCATAAGCCTAAAACCGGACTTGGAAAAACATTCATTTATATATCATTGATTGACTCCAAATTATAGTAGATAACTCATTGTCTTCCCATTAAACATAATTTCATTCAATTTCCTTCTACTTGAAAATGCATGATTCCACTGGTTTGTCCCTTGTCTTTTCTTCATTTTCAACGGCAATTCGACTAATGCCTTTCCGCATTTGATTTGAATTTATTTTCGAATAACAACCTCTTTCTGCAAAACAGTTAAATTCCGTATCAAAATCAAGTAAAACTCACCTTCTAGATTCCACAAGAAGAGCACGCTGTTCTGGACTCTTTTCTGAGTTTACATCTATCTCGCTAGCGGTGTAACTGCGTGAAACATTAAGAATAATTATACAAGTTAAGATTGAGGGCCTCCAACACTAGATGTAATGCAAACTAAACAAAACAAAAATATCTTCTGGATGATATCACATAAATAGTGCAGACAAATAAAAGACTGGAATTGATTGTGTACATCCTCCAACAAAATTTACCTGGAAGGAAGAACAGCTTGAGGAACAAAAGGAGCATATGCTGTTTCCCTCTCAGCTGCAAGTCGTTGAGCCTTCTGAAATTCTTTCAGCACTGCTTGAAAATCTTTTGCAAGCTTAGCATCTGTAATCTTCTTGCTTGCCTGCAATTAAGTTGAAGACATCCAAGATCATCACACCAAAAAGTTTGAATTTTCAAAGACTGAACCTATCGTTTGCACAATTGTCAAGGAATAAATGTTCATATTTGTAATAAATACCATAGACATGCTCTCTAATTTTGGGTGTGTGTGTGTGTCTGTGTGAGGGACAGATGGAAGAAGAAGGGGTGAAAGTGACAGACTTACATTAACTTCAGTATGATGATCTCTTTCGCTGACTTGTTTAAGTTTTTCTGAAGTATCCTTCACCAATTGCCCAATATGTAGTCTCGTCTTGTGCCTGCAATCAGGAAAAGTCAATACGGGGAGCATTAGACAATGGAATTTATCATGCAAGCAGTATTTTGCTGAAACCTTTCACAAGAAAAGAGAATGAATAATGACCAGAAATGACATTTTACAACTTGAAAGAAGTAATCGTTGTTGCTATCCAGGATGTCGCTCTTCCTTATGATCGGGTCACAATCAAGTTGTACAGCAGCCCTTAAGCTATTTTTTCTTAAATATTTCAAATTTTAAGTAAATCCTACATGCACCCCGAAAACGATAGCGAAACAGATAATCCTAATCCATGGAATTACACAGCATCCAGAAACCCATAATTTTAAACAATCAAATCCAGCTTATTATTATAATACTCACAATTAATTCAACCTTGATAACAAAAAATCATCAATAACTCAATCATGGAACAGAAAATCAAAACCCCACAATTCAAACAGAATTCAAGAAACAATACAAAATTGACACATGAAAGTGAAGAAACAACTCACAGCTTTTCGCGGAGCTCCGGCGTGTCTTTGGGGGTGCCGATGGTGTTGACGAGCCTCTGGAAGGTGGATACGGCGGTGTTGATCTGGAAAATGCCGGAGGCCACAGCTTGGGTGGGATCCTGCTTTCCAGTGCCGAGGTCTCCTCGCCGGGAATAATTGGAGCCCCGACCCGCTTCCAGATCCCGAAAGCTCATCTTGTTGTTTCCCTCCCAAACCCTAGCCCTTACTTTCCCGAGAAAATCCCGACGCGAATTTCGAGGACGTAGAAGGAAAGTTGGTGTTTGGGTACAGGGATCTTCAAGGACCTCGATGCGAATTGAGAATTGGGGCGAAAAGGGCAGCTACGCACCAGGAGATTTTTGGGGAGGGAGGGAGAGAAAGAGGAGAGAGAGAGAGAGAGAGAGAGAGAGAAGGTATTTTTGACGCGGTGAGGTGGTTTTTCCTGGTGGAGCTATGGAAGGGAAGCCGGTGCCGGCACGTTGATTGTACTACACGTGGGTGGCGCTGATAGGTCAAGCTTTTGAAGGGACGCTGAGTTCAATACCCCTATAGTTATCTACCAACAAGAACATTCTTCACGAGCACATAATTGGTACGGCTCAACTTTTTTTTTCATAATATTCTTCTTTATTTGTTTAGTCTTTTTGGTATTTTTTTTTATTTGTCGTTTTTCGACCATCTTCAATTTTAAACATAAAATCTAAATTTGACAACTTATTTCCAATTTTAAATATAAAATTCAAATTTAAACTAAAATAAAAATTCATATTTATTTTCTTTGCATTGCTAATGAAAGAAAATGAATTAAAAGGTATAAAAATATTTAACCATTGCATTGGTAATGAAAATAAATTAAAAGGAAAGGTTTTAAACCAATAAAAAGTATTTAATAATTAATTTAAAAAAAAAATTAAAGTTGATGTCAAATTTGGTAGCAAGGGAGAGAGATGCCATTTTATGTGATGACACATCAAATTTTGCTTCTCGGTGGGAAACATTGTTTTTTTTATTTTTTATCGTTATTGCTTGTTTGGATATTTGATATCTCCTTTAGAAATGCTTTTAGTGATATTCTTCTTTATTTATTGGCTTTTTATATTAGCACCTCACAAAATATTGAATGCACCTCACATTAAAATTTAATGTTAGATGATTTATTTACCTACTATGCAATGGCAATTTTGACCTTATTAGGTTGAAAAAAAATAAAAAATTTCTAAATACACCCCAAATAACTTTTAACATATTATTTATCTTATTCAACTATCAAAATCCCTCTGACCCTCCATTGTTAAACAAAACCCTAACCAATGAAACTACAAACATGTTCATTTGAGAAAAATTATTTTTGACGAATGCAACACGAAATCGATGTTTCGGAAGCTTCACATGTAATAAGACTTCATATTTTTTATTGTTTTAGTGATTTTGACGACATCGATAATTATTTAATCTTTTTTTTGCTTCGTTATTCAAGCTTCTATGTTTGTATTCATTTTTTAGAGATCACAGGGATTACATGAAGAATTAAACACTTAAAATTACCACCAAATATTAAAAATAGATGACATGGGTTTTAATGGTGGAATTAAAAACAACCCACATATGCTTTAAATCTTAGGCGGCATCTTTTGTCAAAATTCCAATCGGCATTTTTTGTCCAAATTAAAAGCTTTATAAGACTTGAAAAATGTGGGATATATAGAAAATACGGGGTGCATGTAGAAAATGTAAGGTGTATATTGAAAATGTGAGGGTATTATGGGGAAGTATGTGGGGTGTATTAAGATAATTTTTCGTTGAAAAAGCAAATGTGGGGTTTATTCAACAATTTGTGAGGTGTTAATATAATAAGTCTTCTTCACTCATTGTGAGGCTAAACCCATCTCCACCTTAGTGTAGATAATATCATTTGTTCAAAATAAAAGTTCAAATTGCAGGAATGATGAGTTTGTAACCAATTTATTTATCTACTCCTATAGTATGAATATATCGTTGGAGCAAAAAACTGGTTTTTTCATTTAAACTAGCCACTCTCTGCACCCATTTCTAATTATGTGCGTGTGAACACGGAAAATTCCTGAAACGAAAGAGACAAGAACAACGTGCACAAACAAATATTTGTATTTGATGATTTTGGGTTACAATCTCTCTCTAATTTGATCCTCTGATTCGATCTCCGTAAGGTGTGTATTTGTGGGTGTTTCGTTGATCCAAGGGCCGTCGGGGCTTGATCTTGGATGAAATGTTGGAAGTTTCTTCAAAGGGCCGTGGGCTTGATCTTTGAAGGTGGATTTGAGCGGATCTTCAAGGAGCCGTTGGGGCTTGATCTTGAGTAACGGTGATGAACGGATCTTCAAGGGCTTTTGGGCTTGATCTTGAAGAAACAGTGATGAACAGATCTTCAAGGGCTTTTGGGCTTAATCTTGAAGAACGGTTGGATGTGTGTGGATTTGTCGACGTTGTTGATCCAAAGGGCCGTTGGGGCTTGATCTTGGATGAACGGATGATGAACGATGGTGCTTTCTTCAAGGGCCGTCGGGGCTTGATCTTGAATTGGTGGATGATTGTTGATCCAAAGGGCCGTTGGGGCTTGATCTTGGATGAACGATGAACGAAGAACGAAGAGAGCTTTCTTGATTTTTCGGGAACCTGGATGCTTGAGAGCTTCGGAGTTTCAGAGCTTCAGAGCTTCAAGAGTTTTGCCTAATGATTTTTGGTTCCTCCAAATGAATGAAATGGGCTTGTATTTATAGAAATTTCCAAGGCCTAATTTTGAATATAATATTCCAGATGAAATAAGTCATTTCTGCCAGGTGTTGACACGTGTCCTATTTGATGACTTTTCCAACTCATTTCAATTTTCGTTGAGTCACACGCTACGTGTAAAATTTATGTAATACATGAGCGTTGACACTTTGATTTATCGGTCAACATTTATTTACCAAAATTTCGATGTCTACAAATGCCCCCACTTCAAGTCGCGTCGTGTACATGTGCTTGTCGCGTGTATGAGATGCGTTTTGAAGTCCCTTACTGTAGATGTCGATCCAAGGGCCGTCGAGGCTTGATCTTGAATTGGGCTGGAGATTTCTTCAAGGGCCGTTGAGGCTTGATCTTGAATTGGGCTTGAGATTTCTTCAAGGGCCGTTGAGGCTTGTTCTTGAACTTTCGTTTGAAATTTCTTCAAGGGCCGTCGAGGCTTGATCTTGAAGGTTGAAATTGGACCACAAGGAGCTTCATGTGGCAGATGATCTTTGGCTTTGGTAGTGAGTGAATCGACACGTATTTTGTTGCGTTTGTTGACGTTCCACAGCTTTGATCTTGAACTGGGTTGAAGGATTTTCTGGATTCCTCCAATTGTTGATTTTCCACAGCTTATTGTTGAACTAGGTTTTGATTCAAGGGTGGTAGACACTTAATCTTGAATCGGACTTGTGATTTCTTCCAGGGCCGTCGAAGCTTGATTTTGAATTTGGCTGGAAGCTTCTTCAAGGGCCGTTGAGGCTTGATTCTCGAAGGCTGACTCGAACACATGGCAAGCAGGCACGAGGTGAAGGTGACGACTTGTTGCTTTGTTCAATCTTTCTAATTCACACCTGAGCAGTTTGGTCAACGGTATGATCTTCAAGATTGATGGGCTCTTCTTCCAGTTGGTGACTTGATCTTCAAGGATTTGATTCAAGGGTGGTGAATCGGCACGTACAGCCCACAACGCCTAGTAAGTTGACCCAAGAATTTGAGGGTCAAAACGAGCTCACCGTCCTCAGGCAGATGCGGCATCTTCTCGAGTTCTTCATCTCAGACTCTTTCTGCTAAGTTGACTGTGCATGCTGCATTCTTCTCTACTTGTTTCTTCAGGCAGATGTGGCAGCTTCTCGAGTTCCTCAGTTCGGACTCTTTCTGCTGAGTTGACTGTGCAGACCGCATTCTTCTCTGCTTGTTCCTTCTGCACGTTGTCTCCACATGCTGCAAGGTATCATTTTCACTTGCCTTATCTATTCTTCAGGCAGATGTGGTAGCTTATTTGGAAGTACAGCAGCAGTGGGAGACGAGTCCTCGAGAGCAGTGCTAGGTAGGCAATCAGGGAAGGGTTCCAAGCAGTCGGTTCCTTACCCAATCTTGAGTGGAAGTTCCGGCATATTGTTTTCTTTATCCTTGTCTTTGTAGGTAAGAACAAGGACAAAGGAAAGGACAGGGGGAACGCATGATATGAGATACTCTTGCTTTCTACCCTGGTGATATGAGATACTTTTGCTTTGGAGTCATTGGCTTGCAGAGGTACCCCAAGGAATAAGGAACATTGAATGACTCGAGAGGCTTCGTTGGGAAAGCATTTTTTGGAGATGAAGAAATGCTCTGTATGTCTGCCTTGCTATGGAAGGTGAAGATAGACAGTTATAGGAAGTTCTTTAATACCTGTAGAGGTACTATTCTTTCACTCGTGTCAGCAACCAACGCGTGATTGAACAGTAAAATTTTCACGTGCTTTCTCCTTCACCGAAAATCTTCGACAAATTGCCCGTGATTTGCGCAAAGTTGAGTGTGCATATGACAGGTGATGACGCGGCTGAAAAAGACTGGCGCCTCTTCGATATCTGGGATCGGCGCTTCGACAAATTACCCGTGATTTCCGCAAAGCTGAGTTTGCGTGTGATGGGTGCCGACTCGTCTGGAAAAGCAAGATGCTTCTCCGATTTCCGAGCTTGCCTCTTCGATTTTTTGAATGGCCTCTTCGAATTCTGAGCTCGCCTCTTCGATCTCTGAAATCCCGTCGAGTGCTGATTTTTTATAGATGCATGCAGTTCATTTCAAAGCACACTTGAATTTTCGCTTGTGAAAACTCCCTTCTTGCACTTCTAAGATCTTGATTTGTCTGTTTTCTTCTTCCTTCAATACTTTGAAAATGTCTGGACCCTCCGACCGTTATTTTGACTTGAATCTCGGTGAAGAGGCAGTCCCTTCTTCTCCAGACAACATATGGCGCCCATCCTTCATATCCCCTACTGGTCCTCTTACCGTTGGGGATTCAGTGGTGAAGAATGATATGACCGCTGCGGTGGTGGCCCGAAACCTTGTCACTCCCAGAGATAACAGACTCCTTTCCAAACGGTCTGATGAGTTGGCTGTTAAGGATTCTCTGGCTCTCAGTGTGCAGTGTGCAGGTTCTGTGTCTAATATGGCCCAACGCCTATTTGCTCGAACCCGTCAAGTTGAATCATTGGCGGCTGAAGTGATGAGTCTCAAACAGGAGATTAGAGGGCTCAAGCAGGAGAATAAACAGTTGCATAAGCTCGCACATAGCTATGCGACAAACATGAAGAGGAAGATTGACCAGATGCAGGAATCTGATGGTCAGATTTTACTTGATCATCAGAGGTTTGTGGGTTTGTTCCAGCAGCATTTGCCTTCTTCTTCTGGGGCTGTACCGCGTAATGAAGCTCCAAATGATCAACCTTTGGCTCCTCTTCTTCCTGGAGTTCCGCCAAGTGGTGTGACTTCAAACAGTCAACCTCTGGCGCCTCTCATTTCTGGAGCTCTGCCGAGTGG